TATATATATTTATCTTTAATAGAGCAGCAATGTTATTGATAATTCGATATCGAATATATACTACAGTATATATACTATATTCGATATCAAATATACTCTCTATAGACTATAGAATATACTACAAGATACTAATCGATATATTGACCGAAGGTATTTATACGTTTCTGTCTCTTACATCACTCGTATCGAGAAAAAAAAATACAGTAGATAACGATAAATTAATAAATTTTTCGAACGCAGCTTAATTATTTTCTAACTAAATATTTTCAAGAAAAATTGAAAAAAAAAAAGAACTCGGGCCTGGTCCCTTAAAAGTTTATATATCATTTAAAATATTTATAATGCTATCAAATTCAGAGTTGTACCACGCATTATCTTTTTATTATTGGCATCGAAATATCGATTCTGAGAAAATACAGACCAACAAATACTTCAGACCATTATGACACTTATCTTTATATGTCAAATAAAGTAATAATTGACATTTCTGTTTAAATTTTTTGAAATAAATTCCGACAATTACACAACTAATGCGCTTATTTCAATGATAATAAACGTTGTAATATAATGTTGCTTCTTCTTCGAGTACTTCGCACTACAAAAATCGAGCCAGCAAACGTTACAAAAGGGTTGTTAGTAAATCATTTCGCATTTAAGTGGAATTTTATGCGCGAGGAATTCGCATATGTTTCATATTACAATGCGCCTCTTCGGCATCGGAAGCTAACGAGCTATAATACAAATCGGATTTCCGGGATGAAATCTCTATACGCAGAATTTCTATCTCAGGATTGCGATTCGCTGCAAACATGTATGTACCGCATATTATCACCAAACGTTGAATATATGTAAAGCTGTACCTAATATATATCTCGCATATGTAATAATAGAAATTGTTACAAAAGTTTGATATATATTTTGTATATATTTTGCTTATTGATTAAATTAATGAAATAAAAGAGAAAAATGTTCCAATTAAATTTTTCATAAATCCATAATTTTTTCATAAAAATTTAGTTCGAATATTTTTCTCTGATATAATAATTACTTTTCATATAATATTTTTCTCCGATTTAAAAATACGCATTTAATTTGAAATTGGGCTAATAAATTTGGCAAATTAAATAGAGAAGAATTTAAAAGCAAGTTTGTGCAGTCTAATTTCTTATTAATCCGTCTTTCAAAATTTGATTGTTATAATCTAAAAATTTGTTACAATATGCATATATGATATAATGATTATTGAGATATAAAATAGCCATTTTCGTAAGATTTTGCTCAACGACTTTGAAAGTCTTCACGTAACAGTCAATAAAAAGCTCGCGTACGACGGTAATCCGGAATATACGATGGCGAACCAACGGTTGTGTAAAAATTCATGAACGTCCACCGGACGACTCGTCCGAGCTCGCCATGTGAATGAAGGAGAATCGATCCCTCTAATCAAACTAAAAGATTCAACGTTACGTTCGTACCGGCGATCTTTCTCTCTTCCTTACTCCCTTTTCGCGTTTGGTTTCTCTCGACCCGCACATATCAAATGTGGGAAACAACAGTTTGAAATCAATTTTTTTATATAGAGAAATATTTATGTGGAAGATCAAAAAATTATTAAAATTTAATGATGCATAAAAAGTTTTTTCTTCTTATAAAAAAATATCGAGTCGTAAGATCAAAAGATTATGCAAATTTGGTGATACATGAGTTTTTGAAGTTTCTTTCTTACGGAGAAATATCGAGTTACAAGATCAAAAGATTATTAAAATTTGATGATATATAAGTTTGAAGTTTTTTCTTATAAAGAAACATCGACTTGGAAGATCGAAAAATTATTAGAATTTCGTAATGTGTAAGTTTGAAAGTTTTTCTTATAAAAAGAAAGATTGAGTTGAAGGAAAACAAAAAATTATTAGGTAATACATATGTAAGTTTGAGATTTTATCTTACAGAGAAAAATCGACTTAAAAGATTACAAAATTCGATATTACATGAAAAGAAATTGCTTCGAGAAATAAACATATTTGTTGCCCGAATTTGCTCCAAGATGGTAAAATCGATTATTCCATTTTGAAAATGATGGTATATAATAAGATTAAAATAAATTTGGTATACAAGAAAGCATTTGGAATAATCAGCTTGATTTAGGTCAATGTTATTATCCGTAGAGAAAAATAAGTTCGGAATTAATTTATCATTTTTCTTCGAGGACATTTACGGTCTGTTAGACATTTATCTTACATTGTCTTGTCATTTGATCCACATTGTCGTTCGAAATAACATGAAAATAGTCGTCTCATATAGAATTCTTGCTATAAATAAAAGCTAACGTTAATAAGAGACTAATGGTTTTTTCTTCTTGTTATTTTGTTTTTTCTGCCTGAGTAGCCAACAATCAATAATGCTTGCTTGCGTTCAGAAAAAGATACATATATAATATATACATGTTTCTCTATTTTATATTACTTTTCAAAAATAATTAAGGGATAAAAAAATTGTCCCAAAAATAAGCAAATTTTAAATAGTTGTAACTTTGTTTCGAAAAATGATAATTTAAATTCTAAAAAAGGGTTTTAAAGCTTGAAAGCTCTATTTTCGAAAGATCATAGCTTTCTTAATTTTCTTCAATTCTGATATTTTTTACATACAGAAAACGACGAACATAACAAAATGGAATATTTTTTCTTATTTTGTAGACGTATCGCATACACAAGAAGATTTGGAAAAAGTTTTTGACATTTTTACGTTAAAACCTGAAATTTTCCCCGCAAAATCATTTTTTTAAATTTAAATTTCGATTTTTCCTTATCAAGTTATCGCAAATTAAAGAGAAAATGTTATTTTCACTTTAATCGTTCATAACTCCGTTAAAAATCATCGTACATTAATTTTAATAATGGATTCTTAAAGCTAAATCTGTGCTTTATAATATGATATAAAGACTGAATTTTTTTTTAACTTGTGGATTTTTTACAAATAGGTGCAAATAACGAAGAAATTTGCGAATTTTCTCATTTTTGTTTAAACTTTGAAAAAAAAGTTACGTAAAGTGACTAAAAAATTTTATCGACTGAAATTTTTATATCTCTTAGTACCTCAAACTTGGCAAAAAATCACAGACTTGCGATGGTAATTTCTCTCATCATTCTTTTATCAATCTTGCATCATTTTTTTTAAACAAAGTTACAGCTATTTAAAAATTTGCTTATATATTGGACAATTTTTTTATCCCTTAATTATTTTGAGAAGTCTGTATAGTTAACTTAATAGTAAATTAAAAAATAAATAACAAATTTTGCGCGCATACAATTAAATTTTGACAGCTCACATTTTGACAGCTCGTATTTTGACAGCTCGTATTTTGACAGTTCGTCGTATTTTGACAGTTCGTATTTTGACAGTTCGTATTTTGACAGTATTAATCCTTATAACTTGATGGCACAATAACTTCGCTGTTCCTCTGTAAATACAGGCATTTCTAAATCTATAATATTTAGAACCGCGGAAAGTGGACGAGCAAATTCCGCTCATTGGTAGGATGCTATCCATATTTCTACCGTTCTGTAATCGAACGATGCACACGAGGGCGCGGCGCTTAAACACACACACAGCAGTGGTAAGGTCGTATCCTTTTCAAAGGATTCGCGAATATTAAACGAGCTGCCGCGAACCGTGAATCAAAGCGGATTCCTTTGAGGACTTCTGCGCGCGGGATTCGGCGCGCTCCAGAGAATTTTGCGTCTCTTACGACGGAAACAGCGCCGGCAAAACAAGCGCGCGCGCGCATACCGGAATCAGCGAAATACACGCGTAAGCAAATAAACTGTATATGAGATCCCCTCTCGGCTCCAGAGAAAGCCAGGGATATTCCTCTTTTTGGCCGTTCGCGCGAGAACGCATCTGCAAACCCCGAAATTTGGAAATAAGTTTACTCCGAGTTTCGGCGAACAAGTCAAAAAGGATGGAATAATTCATGGACGAATAATAGAAGAAAAAGAAATGATCAGAAATAGATCCGAGAGTGTACACGTACATAGGGTCGTTTTTGGAAATTTGTTTCGGGATTAAAGTCGAAAAATCTACTTTGTGTAAATTATAGAGGAACACGAATGTCTCTCGTTGAAATTTTTAAGAAAGAATTTTCTCTCCTTTTTATCGGTCTACAGCTATAAAATGCAATTTGGCAACATCGAGCTAGTTGTATGCCCCGTCGCATTGTAACAAGATCAACCATGGAGCTGCAGCTGCATCCAAAGCCATCGGAAATAGATTATCGTGCAAAACTCGAGACTCCGCGCAGGATTACTTGCGATATTCAGCTTGTCGCTAATGTATCATTTCACTGGCACTTCAATCCTTTTGTTCCTTTTATATATTTATAAAATAAAAATATATCTGTGTGTCGCTTATATTATACATATATAATAATATTAATATAATTTATGTGATGCCTTATTATATATAATATATAATAAAATATATATAATTAACACAGATCATTTTTTTAAACAAATATTTAAAAATTTTAAGTGTTATACTTTTGTTAAAACTTACAATGAAAGAATGGGATATATAAGAATTTTATTTAAAGTTACATAATAATTTATAAAACCATTATATTTAATATTTTTGCCTGTGTTTCCAGAGGCAAAAACTATTCTCTCTGTATTTATCTTTTCCTTAGAAAAAATTTCTAATTATAAAAATAATTTTATTTATCCTGTGTATGAAACACTGAATGATAATTATTGCAGGACTGAAACTACAAATAAAAATCACTATTACAATTAAAAAATAAAATTTAGAATAATATTATTTAATATTATATTATTATTAGATAAGAATTATTGGAACAATTTATAAGAATATATTATTTAATATTTTTCTGAGATAAAAACTTCTCTCTCTCTCTCTCTCTCTCTATCTTTTCCTCGGGATGAAAATTCTAGCTAAATACAATTGTTAAATAATTTTATTCATCCTGCATATGATGGTGGTTGCAGGAATGAAGCCGAAGATGAAAAATCACTACAGAGCGCATCAGCTGTCGGTCTGGCTGCGTCTAGTCCCGGAGCTTCATCGTGCCGGAATGGAGGATGTCGATTCCAGACACAACTTGTTCCGCGGCCATAGCGACCCCAGTCTGTACGACGGATCCGTGAGACCGGATCCTCTCAGCAGGATCAGCGAGGAATTCAAGAGGAAGAACGTTAGCACGGATCCGCCGACCACGACGGATTATAGCATTACGACGTGCGTCAGCCTTATCCCGGGCACCAATCTTCAGAACGTCCATAACGCTAGCACCGACACCTTGGCCAGCCTGGACGCAGCTGGGTAATTATCCAGCCTTCGAGATAATATCGCAAGTTTGCTCCAAGTTTATATAATAGTTTCCACTACGCGAGACTCCAGTTCAGAGAGACCTGTATTAATTTAATATAATTTTACTCGTGAGAAATTGTCACGAGATGATGAAGCGTCATCTCGCAATCAAAGTTTCGAGCGTGAAAATTGCATCGTGCCGTTAATCAGTACCTGACAGTTTCCGTAAAGACTTATCGCTAAAATTAATATAATTTTTATTATATTTCAGGAAAAAAAAATATTTAACCCTCTTTATCAGCTCTTTAGCAACTGCTGAACATCTTTTACTTACATTTCAAGTTTCTTGTACCCATATATTTTTAGACGTATTCATTGTTTGTGAGTGTAAAGAAATAATTTAAAATTTTGTTTAATCAAAAATATTAAAAAAACATTTATTATTCTATTCAATCAATAAATAAAAGGGTGCGAAAAAATAATGTTTTATCAAAAAAATCGAGGACGGCGTTTAGGATTACCTTCAAGTTATAATATAAAAATTTTATATTCTTGGAGAAATGAGAAATAGATAGCAGTTTTATTTAACGATAGATGTTTATTTAAAAAATTCCTTACATGTACAGTTATGCGGCATATTCGACGGCCTTGAGTGTGACAATCGCGATCGGCTGCAGCCTGCTGATCCTGAACGTCCTGATATTCGCGGGCGTCTATTATCAAAGAGACAAAACGCGGCTCGAGGTGAAGAGCCTTCAGCAGCAACAAATGTTGAGCCAACAATGCGGTCCTCGCGGTTTCACAGAACTAAAACAACCACCGCCCCCGCATTCCCATTACGCCGGAGCGGGCCAAGTGATCGTCGACGTTGAGAATGAAATGTTGAGAAGGTATCGAAACAATATCAGCATAGAGCAGTAATTTAGAAATTTTTAAGGATAAATTATTTTTTTTTTTTTTATACTAATTATATATCTTTAGACGTATCGATTATTTATCAGTATAAAAATCTTAAGGGGATGCTGCCGTAGTTCTGTTTTATCGACTTTAAGTTAGGTTAGGTTCACTTTTTATTGAATATACAGAATATTATTAGTTCTGTATTATTCTTTTAAGTCACTTCTATTGGGAGTGCGATATTTTGTGCACTAATAAACTGCAGAACTTTTGTAATAAATAAGTATTAATTGTTATGAACTGATGCAAGAGGCCGATAAAAAACTGTAATTTTTTAACTTTTGTTGTTTTTTATACGAAATTACAGCGCTCCCCCTTCATTATTATCAGTACTTTAATTGTGGAGAAAGATTTTTCAATCTGTATAGCCAATAAACAGAAAAGCCCTTGAACTCAAAGTCAGTAAAACAGTCATGGTCAACATCGCCTTAAGGGATGAGTTATTTTATAATAAAATCTCGTTAGTTAAAAAAATTTTTTAGTAGTTATTTTAATACAATTTTTGTTTATTTTTTGTAACTAAATTATATGATATTACATTACACTTTTATAGTTATTGATACACAGCAAGTTTTAAGGATGTATATATTTCTATTGTCGCAGAAACGTAATGAAAGGACCTCCTAACGATCCTGGCGCTCCTTTCCAAGGGCAAGGAACTCATACACTGCCTCATCAACATCATTACCAGAAACATCAGCAACAACAGCATGCCACCCTTCCCCGAGCATCAGTCATTCAAGAGATAAACACACAAACTCAAGTAAGTAATTTCAATTTTATTTTTGTTCCAATTAAAAAAATAAATATAGATAAGATTGTTGAAATATTTATTCTAATATTTTTTTATTAAATTTAATTCCACAAATAACTAATTATACAAATGATTAAATATTCTTTTATATCTATCTTTCATAAAGATTTATATTATAAGCGTAAAAGAGAGAGAAAAATGTGTAACATACGCGACAAAACAATAAGTCTCGTCGCGTAATAACTTTTTCACGTAATATTGTTTCTCTAATAAAGTTTGTTGTGCGAGGTCTTTCAAACTTTCCCAGCTCAGAGATTTAATACCTTGGGAAGGCATAACGTAATCGGAATTATGATCGTAAAGTATGGACCGGATCTGCCATCCCCTGCATATATTGTATCTGACCGCTTCTCAGATTTCTCGGAAACTTTCTTAATAGAATTATGCGAATTGAAATTCTGTGTAAAAGGTATCACGGGAAACTTTCTTTGAAAGGTCTGTGAAAATAGCGCTGTCAGTTCTCCATACTTCATACAAATCGAAAATAATTTTTAACTTGGCATACTTTTCCGTGACTTGATCTAAAGCTTAACAATTTAATTAAAAAATATTAAAAAATTAATAAGTAAAAATTTGTTAATTAATAAGTATATTTATTAGTATTATATATTATAAGTAATATATTATTTAATAATTAATTAATAAATAATTTTTTTATTTATTAATAAATTAGTAATTAAAATTTAAAAATTAAGAGAGTGCTGACCATGACTGTTTTACCGACTTTGAGTTCGAGGGTTTTTCTTTTTATTGGCTATACAGATTAAAAAATCCTTCTTCACAATTAAAGTACTAATAATAATAAACGAGGGGCGCTGTAATTTCGTATAAGAAAACAATAAAAGTTAAAAAATTACAGTTTTTTATCGGCCTTTTGCATCAGCTCGTAACAATACTTATTTAATACAAAAGTCCTGTAATTTATTCGTGCACAAAATATGGCGCTCCCAATAGAGATGACATGAAAGAATAATACAGAAGTACTAAAAATATTATCAATACTTTTATTGTAGACAATTTTTCAATCCGTATATTCAATAAAAAGTAAACCTAACCTAACTTAAAGTCGGTAAAACAGATCAACCCAGCATCTTTTCAATAAATAAAATTTTTTTAAATATGTAAAAAACTAAAAAAATTGTTTTAAATCAAAAAGCTGATTCTCTCACGTAAATTGCTTTTCCAGGGTCCTCCGAACGGATCTATACACTTGACGGTCCCCCGGGCTCCGCCGCCACCCAGGGCGAAGAGTCCGCCGGAGAACCAACCCCTTCTGCAGAGTGCGACGGTCTCGAGTCGCGTGTCCCAGGCGACGATGAGCGAGATGCGAGTGTGATGCTTGGACCCCCCTCCGAAGCCAGTCGTCCCAGATGTCCTCACGGCGTCGACCTTGCTCTAGGCAGATTCGCCGCGAACCTGTCGCGAGTGGCGGCCCCAAAAGCTGCCAACTCCTCGACGGGTCGACGCAGAATATCCCGGGGAACGTGAGCTGCGGACAAACGGAGGGGGGTGCTGGGGAGAGATTCCTCACCGCTGAGGGATGGTCGAGCCAAGATTGCGTCTACCGAATACAAGAGAGAGAAAATACCGATCGAAATGCGCTATTGCGAATTTAGAAGTGCGGAAGAGAGAGAGAGAGAAAGAAACTGCGAGCCACAGCAGAATACAAATTAAATACGTAGAGTTTAAATCTGTCCCTGCAATTTCTTCGTAAATCTCTTCTCTCGGATTAGAAAAATATACGTATACAATATATATGCTCTCGTATAACGCGGAAGGGATAATGTTTCGCGTTTACACGATACTCATGGGGTTGTACAAAATTCGTGGAAATGACAAAGGTCATTTGTTAACGAAGGGAACGCGCAAAATTTTTCCCAAAATTCATGAATTTATTATCCATCGCGTTATACGAGGCCTATCATAATTTTCTCTTTTTCTTTGTTTTTACCATCGCGTTACGTAGAAGTATTATTACCTCTATACACAATACACGAGGGTCTTGCTGTATAAAACTTCAGAGGGTGCATTTCTACAGAACGCGCAAAGTAATAGAATTCTTAAAAAATTTGAATTTACTAAAATTATAATTTTACACAATCAAAGTAATTGATAAGAATACAGTTTGCAAAAGAAATATATATGTAATATATACGAAAGAGTTTTAAAAAGAAAAAATCTTCACAATCTTATAATAATTATTATCGATTGAACCGCGATAAACGAAAGAGCTGTAAAAAATATTTCACAGCGCCTTTCGCTTGAGACTCTACGATAGTCGGTGGACGTCGATAAAAATACTTACGAAGTTTGAACATCAAGTGAGAAAGAAATGTGGCAAAGTCGGTCAGATCACGTTGGATCAATCGAGGCTTTAATCAAATTTCGTGCGAAGGAATCAAACGCGAATGTGAAATTTCGCTAATTATATTATTAGTCGATAAATGAAGAATCTCTAGTCGTTAAAGATGACGAAAGGAGTGACGAATGGCTCAATATGTGAATCTCGACGGCGATGAAGACACCCTGTAAAAAGAAGACATACTAGCCATATTACGATGTTAGATGTTCCTTGTACATAACGTGAATTTATATATACATATAAGAACGCCAAAGAGTTTGCTACTTTGTAAGAAGACTTGTATCCGCGTATCGTTTGATTATTAATCCTGGTTTTTTTTTTTTTTTTGGTTGATGTGTCGATATTCACGCGTGATGTCATAGAAGAATGAATGTAAGAGAGAAATTTTTCGAAACGTAATGAGCGAGCTTGTTTATTGACGAGAATCGACTGATTAAGCTTTCAGAACTTCAAAGTGTCAGATTCTTAATTCTTTGTAGAATATTTTCTACATATATAAAGTCTAATTATAGAATCCTCCTTCAAGTCCTTTAACCACTCGTAAAATAGCTAATTCTCAGCCATAGTGTATCAAGATTAATTCTTCTGTCAATGCATTTTTTAAGGTGATCCTAAACGTCCTTGAGAAGTCTGTGATTTCCGTCCTGTTTTATCGACAAAATGTGAGGTTAGATAAACTATAAATCTATTTATTGGCTATACGGATTGTTTTTTTTTACCTGAAATTAGAACGCTTCGCCCTTTGTTAATATTAATACTTTAATTTGTTTTATTAATACTTTAATTAATACTTTAATTTATACAGGAAAAAGATTTATCAATCTGTATAGTCTTTTATATCTTGGTTACAGAATTATGAATTCTAAGCACACATTCATAATTCTGTAACCAAGATATATAAAACTATACAGATTGATGTCTTTTTCCTGTATAAATTAAAATTTTAATATTTCAATATTAACAAAGGGTGAAGCCTTCTAATTTCAGGTAAAAAACAATGTGTATAGCCAATAAATAGATTTATAGTTTATCTAACCTCACATTTTGTCGATAAAACAGGAAGGAAACTTATTAGGTTTGCTTAAGATTCCCTTAATGGGTATCATTGCGACAATTTTTTTTATATTAATTTCTGGGTATCAAATATTATTTAGAAAATTTCCTAAAAATACAAAGGTTTTTTGTTTTGGGCGGAGAAAAATTCCGACGTTTTGAAAGTTTCTTTTGATACCCGGGTTCATCGACAGAAGGGTTAACTGATCATATTAAAGTGCGAGAAAAAAGATCGTCAATGCAAGCAATGTCGCTCATTATCGTTTGCTCTAATTAACACTACTTGCCACGCAAGTAACTCATCGCGAACGTATGTATTGCACATATGAATTATGATACACGATACGCACATAGAATGATCTTCGTACCCTCTCCATGTACGCGTATCTACGCATATGTGTTTTATATATATTATATATATATACATATAAGAGGTGATCGGACACAGTTATTAACCATTGTCATGAATCTGTCTCTTTCAATTTCTTCATTTTCGTTTCGACATATCTTCTTACTTCTTATACTGAAATAATGCTTCTTAAGAAAATTTTATAAACCGGTCATATCTTTATTATACAGCTACTATACAATTTTATACATTCAGTATTACACTATTTGCGACAAAAGTCCGATTTCCCTGTTGCTTTTCCGCGCAAAACAAACACCAGAAAGCGATCCGATGTAATTCGAATCCGTGTGGCGTCGATTTTTCAAGGTTTGAATTTTTATCGGACACACGGTACATGTGATTGTCTCTGTTCTTTTTGTATAAATATTATACATATATATAGGTGTAAAATAAAAACTAACGTAAATCTGTTAAGCGTAATAATACACTGCCACAAGACTACCGAAGTTAAATAAGGAGAACTCACAAGCTGCAGTTCTCTTTTCACCTTATAAAATAATTGCCCTAACTATTTAATAATTTTTGCAAAACAAATTAACATATTTATTTAAACGTATTTCACATAATTACGCGCAAAATACGGTACCGACAAGAATTTTTTATTACCTCACGAATCTTTTTATGCGAAATTAACAATACGTTTTCGAAAAAGGCGAAAAGGATCGATAAGAGCCGAATATTTATCAAATTCCTTTTCGCGAGAAACGACGTATCGAATCGATAGATCGATAGAGAAAAAACTTTTTGTACATACGCACCTTTGCAAAAAACGCAACATCAAAGGGCGCATTTTGCTTGCTTCTGCGCAAAAGAGAAAAAAACACGGCGATCGCGGCCACGAAGTGGCTTAAGTTAATTCCTGAAATCCTTGAATCCTTGGATCCTCGTAATTAAAGGATTCTACCGTCCTAGAAGGATCTTATACTTTTGTAATTAAACAAACCGTAGCTCGTAGAGCGGAAAAAATCTCAAATTGGCAGCAGAAGCTCCTGCTTATATAAAATGAGGATGAGAAAAGGAAATGTAAAAATATATATGCATTATAACACGGCAAACCTTGATCCAGATTGTGTCCGAGATATGATTTTTTTTTTGAAATATGGAAATTTGATGAAAAAAAGGAAAATGTAAACGCGACGAGAAAAAGACGTCGTCTTTCGCCGCAAACGTAAATTTTAGCAAGGATTCGCAAGCGTAAACTAAATATCGTGGGCGTTGTATGATATCATCATCAAGTACGGGACAATCCGAATATAATTAAAGATTAAGAGACAAAGTTGGTAATAGTAATAAAAAATAAGAGAAAAGAAAAGAGAGTAAAGGAGGGAAATGCGTGAGAGAGAAAAGGAGAAGAAAAATATACCGGAGAGAATTAAGAAAAGATGTTTAAGAAATTTAAATAACATATTATAAATATATATATAAATATATATATTATACACAACATATTACACAATTGTAATAAATTATTATGACGGATATTATTATATTTATGTGAGACCTTTAGCTGGCCTCGCGCTCTCCTAGAACGATACCTCGATTATACTTTCCGGCCGAGGGCGAGGCTACCTGTTATGTTTAACGTTTTTTGTTGTCAAATTGTAAATATATAACGATATACATGGAAATCTCAATTTACTTATTGTATCCATACACGCGTTCCTGATCCTCTTTATTATTCACTCTTTGAATATAAAACTAATATAACAGGAAAAATATAACTAATATTAGGAATTGTATAATACTAATATTAGGAAAAATATAACTAATATTAGGAATTGTAATAATACTAATATTAGGAAAAATATAACTAATATTAGAGAAAGAGAGAAATTATAATATTAATATTAGGAAAAATAAAATTAATATTAGGAATTATAATACTAATATTAGGAAAATAAAACTAATATTAGGAAAAATAAAGCTAATATTAGGTATAATAAAACTAATATTAGGAAAAATAAAACTAATATTAAGAAAAATAAAACTAATATTAGGAAAAATAAAATTAATATATAAGTTAATAAACTAATATAATAAAACAAACGAACATACGATCAAACGAACAAACAAACATAAATAAAAAAATTTATACATAATACATATATATATATGTATATTTATATACTAATAGAAATAATTATATATTTTCTCTATTATACAATATTTATTATAGGAGCACAAAATTACTATCCGTTTGACATTTATTGCCCTGAGAAAATATTTTACCGCATGCGTTTTCCGCACACCGACTGTTGGTACGTTCTAACTACATGGATAATACAAGAGTATTTCATCTCGAAATATACCTTTTAAGCAAAGAACGCAATGTCTGCTTCATCTTTAGCAGATATTCATTTAAGCTGAATCAGAAGATGAAAAGTTGAAATTCTGAATTATTCATATGTGGTATTAGAAATAATAGTATAAAATATAATTATTTATATAAGAAATTGTGTTTATTGTATTTATATTTAATACACGATAGAAAGAAAAATTTAATTTCTTATTTAATATAATATCATAATTTAATAAATATCCTATATCTTATCCTAATCTAATGTATATTTAAATTTAAAACGACAATATTTTTATTGTGTTTTTTTTTAATATATTCCATATAATCTATTTGAAATAATATTCCAAATAATTTACTAAAAATATTGTGATTAATTAAGTAATCGAAAATTTTTATGTATGTTGTTTTTAAAGACTGCTGTGCATATACTCCAGTAGTTTTATTATCTATTGCTATTATATTATTTCTATTTAATTTTTATATACTTATATATAAACCATTTAAAAAAATTAGTTTTATAATTTTCTATAAGTATTATTTTTATATTATTTCCATATTTTTATTTCATTAAATGTAAAAACTTCTAAAAAAATCATTGTTCAACAAATTTTTTCCATCAAGTATTTGTTTACAAGTCTTTAATATATTTTTTATTTTATTTTTTATTGTTTATTATTAATCAAGAACTGTGTTTATTGAAGTAATATAATTTTTGAAAGATTTCTAATACTTTCGTTTAAATAATCTTTATGTTAAATATTGCATCAACGACGAAAGCAACACGTTGCGAATAGAATTTGTGGCTATCATCCACGCGTGACATTAAAACAGCTGTCAAAATAAATAATCTCCATGATAACAATCTTTTGACATATTATTGCAAATTTTAAAGAAGGATATTATTTTTTTTCAATAGCAGTGATATAGTAAAAATTCGCATCAAATGCGAATAAATTATTCACATGCTATTAACTGCTTTTAATGTTTGAACTTTCAAATCTTTGCTCAGATCCTTATTGATAAACCCACCCACACACACACCAAATAACATTTATGAAAATAATTAATCAACATCACGGAAAAAAAGCAATAAAATTTAATACTTTCAGGTAATCATATTTACCTATATATCCTTTGAAAATGAGTAATTATATATATACATATGTATATGTATATGTATGTGTATAATTTAATCATAAAGAATCATGTATATATATGTATACATGGGTTTTGATTAAATATTATTACTATCAAAATTCGAGCCCGACGCGATTATTGGTGTGAGAATAATTTCATATTCTGATGTTGCAAAATAGCATCTCTCTCTTTCTCCCCCTCCCCCTCTCTCTCTCTGCTAAAGTATATATATATATATTATAAAATAAATAACAAGCGCACGCTCCGAGTATGTAAGCGAAAATCTTTGTTATTTATTTTAGTACGTAGAATACAACCTTGTGTGAACATCGCGAGGATTTATCTCTAGAATTCTATGAATTCTTCGAGTAAAATGTTTCTAAAAGAAATGATATATGTTGGAAACGAAAATTTGAAACAAAATATTTCTATAGAATGCTGCAAATTTAACAAGCCTTAATTAATTAACTATATAAACAATTATTAAAATCATTACAATAAAACATTATTTTGTCGCGTAGCGGAAGCAATTCTCTCAACTTCCGAAAAATTTAAAAGTATTAATGATTCAGATGTATTTTTATGCGGCACACGTCTGCGATACAAAATGCAAATTAATTTGTAACGATATTATGAGACAAAATAGGTAACTTGATATGATATCTGCTCGTTAATATGCAGAAACGTTTGTGTTTTAATGAATGCAATCCGCCCGTACAACACTCAGAAAATAATATTTTATATAATATTGGT